GAGAAGTGCTCTGCTATTAAGACTCAAAAAGTAATTAACTGAATACTCTTTCAGAAAATAGCATGTCTCCATACGCGTATTTCTGTAATTATAAAGACCACTATCAAAATCTTTGGTATTTCATTGAGCATATATAGATACATGGCTTGTAGCATTAAAAGCCTTGTAAATAACTTGTATTCACGTTTAGTATTTTTTAATTGGTAAATTTTTTATTTGCTTTTTTGAAAATTATGAAGTTAATAAAAAGTTAATTTTAAGGTAGTATTTTCCATGTTGAAAACTAACAATGCAGTTGAACATACTCTTTGAATTAAATGGCACATCTTCTTAAATTCTGAAAATTGACAAGTTATATTGGAAAATGACAGGAATAAACCAGAAAAGAATATGTCACAACATTCTATTGGTAAATTCAAGGTGATTATTTTCAGTGAGAATGAATTTATAAATAACAATGAAAATATATAAAAGCCTTTTCTGATCCTAAAGAGATTTTTCTCCATTTTTCCCTTTTGGTGTCTATTTTATTTAGCCCTGCCATGCATCATGTTGATTTTATGAACACAAGTGATACTTAATTTTTAATTTGAAAATGTTTAGTATGTGCACTTACAAGCAATTATCAGAATGTGTGCTTGAACAAAAAAAGTAGCAAATTAGCTACATTTCTGCTGGTGTCACTTAATAAATACTTTGGTTACTAAGGGTAATGAACCTTGCTGTTTTATAAGATCATTACCCCATGTAAGGTAATATTGTATCAATACATACACTATATTGAAACTTCTGTTTAAATTATTCATTAGGCTCTATTTGCAATGTAAACTATTTAGAATCCATACACAACTAAATTAAAATAATTATATAATTAATGGATAGTAACCAAGAGAGAATGGTTTTGCTGCACTATTATTCTAAATATGGACTCTATATATTTGGTATGGTGTGATTACACCTAACTTTTGTAAAGTATTTGAGTAATATTTTCTTCTTTTTATTGCCAGCTTCTGATAATAAAGAAATTTTCCCAATGGGCTGAGATATGTGAACTTATCTTCTAAAAAGAAAATATTGCCGGGAGTGAGGGAGGAGAGGGTATAATCTAGTTCTACACTGTCCATTTGCTTTATATGAAGGCTTTGATTTCCAAAATTGACTGCTTGATAAATATTTAAATTATACAGAATAATGTCTGCATAGAATAAATTTAAGTATACAAGAGCCTTAAAGTGAAAAAATGAACTTTTTGACTGCCTTAAATATGACTTCCTCCTCCAATTCAGGCATACTAGTTTTTTTCCTTGGGTCTGTTGATTAATTAATGCCTTAATCGTGATCTAATGTTTTTGAAGTACAGAAACTCAAAGAGTCTTTTAGAGCTTTTAATTTTACATAATGAATGGAAATTTAAGTATTAACGTTTAAAACATGATTGTACATTGGTAATTTAAATACTTATTAACAGGATAATCTGGGTGCACTAATGTGTTATACATACATGACTGTTAACATTCTGTGGTTATTTAAGGTTTTTTATTATTTTGTATAACAAATTATCCAGGATGCTGGACTTTATGACTATAATGTGACCTCTAAGGACCAAGTTGCATATTTAATACTGAGTACAATTCAAAAATGATTCATGTTTAAAGGGAACTTTTCAAGACAAAAGGCAAATATTTTGTTTCAAAGCTACAAGCAAATTCATTCCAAGAAGTGTATAACAGTAAAACATCAGGACTACTGCAATAAAAAGTATCTAGGTCAGTGATTTGCTTAACTGCATTCATATTTTTACATCCACTTTACCTTTCAAAGCAAGAATATTTTATAAAACTGAAAGAAAACTTTGTTAAGCAGGTGCTTAAAGGCATATAAAGTTTTATTTATAACAAGTTTATTTCCTTTCCAAGGAAAGGACCCTGAAGGGAGGAGGGCCAGGGAGTTTCCTAGCTCTGCTGATAAACTAATCAATGCTTTGTCAAGTCTTCCAAGTTTTCACTGTAAATAATACACCTAACAATGTGATTGTGCTATTGTCTGAGAGGGAATGAATAAATATACTAATGTGTTAAGTATTTCATGATAACACAGTTTTCACTGATACTATGAAATCTTGACTTTTCCAGCCTTGCAAAATATCCTACTGAATAAATCACTTTAAATATGGAGTACAGGTGGGCACTATGTGAACTGGTTCTGGTCAGTTTATTATTGTAGAAATTGATAGGTGTACCAAATAAACTCTATGCACATCAAATAATTGTCTTCTTATTTCTTTCAAGAAATAGGAATTTGGGGATTATTTAAAGCCCTTAGGAAATAATTTGTTACATTTGAAAAGGTAAAATTCAGTCTCAATAATTAATGTTGGCTTTTGGGGGGAAAATTAATATGATGCTACATATGATTGGGGTACATTGTTTGCAGATGAGTCCTTCACCCAGGAATATTGGCCTACACTCAGGTGTTCCTCCTGCCTCAGCCTCCCAAGTAGCTAGGATGACAGGTACAAGCCACCATCCTGGCTAATTTTAAAATTTTTTGTAGAAGTAGGGGTCTGACTATGTTACCCAGGCTGGTCTCAAATTCCTGGCCTCAACTGATCTCCTGCCACAGCTTCCCAAAGTGCTAGGATTTGAGCCATGAGCTGTGAGCCACCATGTCCAGCCACAATCTTTTCTTTTATTATTCATTTAGTAAAAGTTCAGAAGACTAAGAGGCAGGGTTTATTTCTTCCTTTTTAAATAAAGCCACACATGATAATCTGGTAGCATGATATCATACTACCTTCACTGAAGTTTTGAGCCTTTTGATAAGGTTTCTGTCCTTACTACTGACTTATTTCAAGATCCAGACATCAAGAATCAAACACCACTCACCCCTTCACCCTCCTGTCTTCTACCAATCTAGGAAGAATTGAGAAAAGATATTTCTTTACCGTCTAGCACTATCAACACCACTTTGTGTTTCTATACCTTGAAGTAAACTGCCTCTACACTTGAAACCTAATATGATTAATAATAATATTGCATTATCATTGCATAAATAATAGATGTCTTTAACTCTCTATCATTTTATAACACAGCAAGCATGTAACATTTCTGAAAACATAATGCAAAATAAAGAACTAAAGATACTCCACTTTGTGTTATAATGTATCACATGGGAATGAAATAATCTAAATTCTTGTTTAGCAAGTCTCCTGACTGCAGTTTATGTCCAGGTAGGAAACATCATTGAAAGCAAATGGCCAAAAAAGCTACCAGCTGTCTTTATACTCTTCAGATTTTCTACCAGAAACCATAAGCACTCACTCTTGAAATCCAGTTTCCTTCCACCTGGGAGGAAGAGTTTTTCCCTTCTCAGAATATGGTAATCTGCCCCATGTGACTGTGGGATCAGCTAGGAAAATACATTGTATACTAGGTACTTTAAAAAGTCTTATTGATAAGAAGTTAGAAACATGACTTGATTTAAAGCATTTTCAGGCCGGGTGGCTGATGCCTCCTAGCACTCTGGGAGACCAAGCCAAATGGATTGCTTGAGGTCAGCAGTTCAAGACTAGCCTGAGCCAAAGCAAGACTCCATCCCTACTAAAAATAGAAAAAACTAGCCACGAGTCACGGTGGGCGCCTCTAGTCCCAGCTATTCCAGAGGCTAATGCAAGAGCATCTCTTGAGTTCCGGAGTTTGAGGTTGCTGTGAGCTATCATGACACCATGACACTACCCAGGGCAACAGAGTGAGACTCCATCTCAAAAAAGTATTTTCAATTATTTCAAAATAAGACTTCCTACAGGATAAATCTTGTTTGCTAAGTGTATCTGAAATGAATACAGTTTGAATAGTATTCCCAGTCAACAGAATTGTACACTATCAACATCAGAAATGACTTTAGGGACATTCAGTCTTAATTCCCATCCAATACTTGGTTCCCTAGGTAACATTTCCAACACCCATTCCAGAAGGTAGAACTCTTCAGCTCAGAATATAACTCAGGCACATTCCTAAACTGTTTCCAAAGATCATCTTCCTGAATTGGCTGAAATCTTCACTTTAATTTCTACTTAGAGGTACAATTCTGTTCCCTGGAACTACTGAGTCATTAAATGAGTAATTTAGCTTTTCTCTCTCTTTTTTATTAGAGACAGAGTCTCATTTTGTCACCGTTGGTAGAGTTGGTAGAGTGCCATAGCATCACAGCTCACAGCAACCTCCAGCTCTTGGGCTTAGACAATTCTCTTGCCTTAGCCTCCTAAGTAGCTGGGACAACAGGTGCCCGCCACAACACCTGGCTATTTTTTGTTGCAGTTTGGCTGGGGCTGGGTTCAAACCCACCACTCTCGGTATATGGGGCCACATCCTACTCACTGAGCCATAGGCACCACCCTTGAGACAGACTCTTGTTGCCCTTGGTAGAGAACCCTGGCATCACAGCAACCTCAAACTCCTGGGCTTAAGTGATTCTCTTGCCTCAGCCTCACAATTAGCTGGCACCCACCTCGACACTGGGCTGTTTCTTTAGAGACAAGGTCTTGCTCTGACTCAGGCTGGTCTCAAACCTGTAAGCTCAAGCAATCCACCCTCCCTGGCCTCCCAAGTGCTGGGATTACAGGCGTGAGACACTATGCCCAGCTGTAATTTAGCTTTTTCAGATAAATTTCATCCCATGCTACAAATTTAATACACTTCTATTACTCTACAAGTACAAAACGGGAAGGCTTGTGACAATATGGTACGAGATATCCCTACCTAGTCCACAACTGTATCAGTGAGAGGAATTTAAATTCTAAAGAGAAATCACACATCAGTCCTTACCACTGAAAGCTATGAACAGTAAGGAGTTAACTCCTTCTGAATACATAAGAAATACAGGATTCCAAATGCTTATCTTGTAGTGCTCAGTTGTGAAAATTCATATGTAAATTCCTAACAAAACACATGTGTTTCCTTATCTTTAAAATACCATCCCTTTTGCTCAAGAATTGTCAAGAAGATGAGGTCTCCACTGCAATTTATTATTCATTATTTTTACATCTTTTTCATGAAGAGAATATTTTTAAAATACCCTTATTTAAAAGACAGTCTCAGGCATTATTGCTCCAAATAACTGACATTTACTACCAAAGTTCTGAGTAAGAATGTCACTGAGATTCTTTCCTCTTACTTTTTTTTAAATAACACTGATGAACTAATGGAAGCAATTTCCCTTCTTGGTGAAGCCTATGAGTGTCAGTTGCACCTCCAATAAAAGTTCCATTGACAAATATTCTTGGAACCTATTGGACAAAAAAAGGTTGATTAGGCATTGCCCACATCAGAACTGGAAGATCATTTCACAGAACAATAATAGACATTCACACTGTGGGTACCTCTATGAGCCAGGCACCACACTAAGCTCTTCCACAAATTCTCCCTTTCAATCTATACAACCCTTGAGGTAGATATTATTTGGGACAAAAATCAGGCCCAGGAACTTGCCCAAGGTCACAGTGATAAACGCAGTAAATGACAGAACTGGGATTCAAATCCAGGACAATTTAATTCCAAAACATTTTTTCCTAATCACTGTGATATATAAAAGGTAAACTAAGCAGTCTAATTATTAGTAATGTTTAAGCGCTTAGGTGTCACTTGGTTTATTTTTTTTTGAGACAGTCACTTTGTTGCCCCAGGCTAGAGTGTTGCTAGTTCACAGCAACCTCAAAGTCCCGGGGTTCAAGCAATCTTCCTGCCTCAGCCTCATAAGTAGCTGGGACTATAGGCACCCAGAACAAAGCCCAGCTAATTTTTCTATTTTTAATAGAGACGGAGTCTGAACCTTGCTCAGTCAGGTCTCAAACTCCAGAGCTCAAGCAATCTTCCCACCACAGCCTCCCAGAGTGCTTAGATGATCGGCATGAGCCACCGTGCCGGCCTACATTTGTTTACTAAAGGGGAAGAGTGGACTATGAACTTCCTCCAAGCACATATAAAGAAGAAGGAACATGGCAACACTGTATATTTTTCTGATGATTCATATTATAGACAAAACTACAAATGTCAGGAGTCTTAAAAACATGGAGTATTAAAGCACTCCTATTAGCATAGTACTCGAAGGCCAAGCCCTGGTCTGTGTTGTCCAAGTAAAGGGAGGAAGGATACTTGTATCCTGAAGAACTCCAAGACGACATTCAAGCTCCATAGACAAGCTCTGATGACACCATTACCCGACTTGTTCCAGTGAAAACACAGATATATACACCCATACACACAAAGTAAGAATAAAAACAAAAGGAATTAACTCTGCTGTTTCCTATTCTAAGAATCAAGTTCCCAGATCTGTAGTCTCTTCATCAATATAAGATAGTCAAAGGATAGCTCATTTTCCTATACCTAAGAGTCTAAGCTCTAGGGAATCCAGGCCACAAGCTATTAAGGAAGAATAGCACCATGGAGTGTATACTCACAGTTCTGGCACCAGTCATTTTGTAAAGAGCATCTTGAAATTGGCTTCCATATTCAAGCATGTCCAATTCCACCACTTTGTAATTAACATTCATGTCATGGAAAAGCTTTTTTGCCATTTTACAGTAAGAACAAGATGTTTTTGAGAAAATCACTACGCAATGATCAGAAATTGTTTCCTAAAATCAAAAAAAAAATCACTTTAACTCTACACATTACCTAAAATATCATAATATTCTATAAAGGGTATAGATTTTTTAAAGTGTTTTTTTGTTTGTTTTTCAGAGACAGAGTCTCACTTTATTGCCCTTGGTAGAGTGCTGTGGCATCACAGCTCACAACAACCTCCAACTCCTAGGCTTAGGCGATTCTCTTGTCTCAGCCTCCTGAGTAGCTGGGACTACACGTGCCTGCCACAACGCCCCCGATTTTTTATTGCAGTTTGGCCGGGGCCGGGTTTAAACTTGCCACCCTCAGTATATGGGGCCAGCGCCCTACTCACTGAGCCACAGGTGCCACCCGAAAGGGTGTAGATTTTGAAGTCTCATGATTCAGGGCTCAAGCTAAGTCTCTATCATCTGTTGTCTCATGTGTAGACTGAGGATATTATTCATTTGAAAGGGATGTTATTAGGAAAAAATCATTTAAAACAGGTATTACCTGGAATAGAATAATAAGGATAATAACCATAGCAAATTCATATTCAGAAACATTTCTGTATGCTAGCCATTACTCTCAACATGTAACCAGCCCATTTAAACATCACTACAGTCCTGAGATAGGTCCTATTATTACCACCACTTTGCAGACGAGGAAAGTGAAGTACAGAGGAAGATAAATAACTTGCTCATGTCCTCAGCTAACAAGCAGGAGAGCTGGGATCTGAACCCAGCAAATCTGGCTCTGCGATCCAGGTACTTATTCTCTGATACAGTACTTCTCCAATACTCAGTAGGTGTTCGGAAGCAGTTAACCCCTTACCTGATGCAACTTTTAATGGTGGGAGATGAAGTGTGAGCTCTCTTTAAAATATAAGCCTTTCACTAATCCAGGCATAAACCTCAGCATACTCTTCCACTGCCATCCCTTCCTATATCTTTATAGTGCAAAAGCTGTTACTGTATTTATAAGGTATTCTTGTACCATTGGTCCTAGAAAAGCTGCTTCTCGAAATGCTGAGTCAGTGACGTTGAGACAGAGGTCAAAGAGAGTACTTTTAAAAAGCTTTCTCAGATGATTCTTATGTCATCATCCTGGAAGAGAAAGAAACCAGTCTCCAGGCCTTTACTGCAAATCACCATGAGATTTTGCTATGCATGTGCATCACCTGTGAAGGTTATTTTGTTTTGTTTCTTGTTTCCAGATAGATCAATGCCTATGTCCTTTACGAAATATTGAATGGTTAGGTTCACTAGCCAGGCATTTTTCTCGTCTGTTCTTAAGTGGTGGATGTCACAGCAGCATCTTCAAGATGAAGGCAAAAGAACACAAAGTACAGTACCCATATAGAGTACTTATGATGTACCCACCCTTGGGTGTCAGAAGGGTCCTAAAGAGTCTAGCTCTCTGCAAGCTGGTCAATTTTTATTCTTTCCCCTTCTGCTTACTCATAATATTTAGTATAAAAGTCTACCCCAAGGAGAGTCATCCATACCAGAGATGTATTAATGAATCCATTTTACAAATGACAAAACTGAGACTGAGATTTATAATACTGAGATTTGACCCAACCCTGCCTCAATACCAAAGCCAGTGCCCTTCCCTCCACCACACTGCTTCACGTTAGAGGCACAAAGAGACCATTATTAGAGAGAGGTGAGCATCTCTGGTGCTGATACATAGTAAAAACCAGGGGTCCTCAAACTTTTTAAACAGGGGGCCAGTTCACTGTCCCTCAGACTGTTGGAGAGCCAGACTGCACAACCCGGGACGAGTTGGCTGCTAAGCAGGACAGGCAGTGGTGGCAAAAATACCCGGCAGGCCAGATAAACGTCCTAGGTGGGCTGCATGTGGCCACGGGCCGTAGTTTGAGGACACCTGAAACACTGACAAAGAGATTCCAAAGTGAGCTGACACTCAAGATGACAGTGTTAGGGTTTCTTGAACCCTCTTCCCTTCTTTTCTGAAGCTCATCTTTATATTTTATGACACTGTTATTTTTATTTTTAAAAAGGCAATTCCCATTACCAGATGTGGTAGTAATTTTAGCACTCTGGGAAGCTAAGTCCAGAAGATTGCTTGAGCTCAGGAGTTTAAGACCAGCCTGAGCAAGAGGGAGACCCCATCTTTACTAAAAATAAAAAAAAAAAATTAGCGGGGTGTCATGGAGCATGCCTATAGTGTCAGCTACCTGGGAGGCTGAGGCAGGAGGGTTGCATCAGCCCAGGAGCGTAAAGCTGCGGTGAGCTATAATGACACCATTGCACTCTACGTGGGGAGTCAGAACAAGAGTCTGTCTAAAAAATAAAAAAAGGCAATTGGCAATTTCCTCAAAATAGATTTCTAGTATTACTGTTACATTCAATGACCGTATGTATAGTCAAATCAATTAAAAGCAAAATTTATTTTTATGTAGTAGTAGTGCCTGGTAAACAAGAGAAAGAAAAAAATGAGTATATCTTATAGGCTGCAAGGGAAGAAAAACAAACATATAAGAGAAATTTTCTGAGGCAGAATTAACTAAGCTTTGAAGTAAAAGAGAAGAAAACAAGAGAACACAGCTGTGTTTAATATCAGCAGTGGCTCACGCCTGTAATCCTAGCACTCTGGGAGGCCAAGATGGATGGACTGCCTGAGCTCACGGGTTCAAGACCAGCCCAAGCCAGAGACCCCCATCTCTAAAAAAAATAGCTGGGTGCTGGGGTAGGTGCCTATAGTCCCAGCTACTTGGGAGGCTGAGGCAAGAGAATCACTTCAGCTCAAGAGTTTGAGGTGGCTGTGAGCTGTGACACCATGTACTCTACCAAGGGTGACAAGTGAGACTCTCTCTCAAAACAGTAAAAATAAAAATACTGAGAGGACTCTTTATGAAGTAACTACTATATACAAGTTTTATGTTGGAGAAGAAAGCTGTTAAACAGCTTCCCAGGGCAAAATCAAATAGGATCCCCAGCTCCAGACAGCTGGACAGGTATCAGCAGTAGACCTGAGGTGAACAGTCAACCACATAGATTCAACTTAGAGGAACTCAACACTTCATCAAGACTAAATCTCATAAGTTTTTTTTTTTTTTTCCCTTGAGAAAGAGACTCACTCTGTTGCCCTAGGTAGAGTGCCATGGCATCACAGCTCACAGCAACCTCAATTTCCTGGGCTTGAGCAATCCTCTTGCCTCAACCTCCCAAATGGCTGGAACTATAGGCGCTTGCCACAACACCCAGCTAGTTTTTATATTTTTAAGTAGAGACAGGCCCTCATTACTCACGCGGTTTCCTGAGCTCAAGCAATCCACCCACCCACATCAGCCTCCTAAAGTACTGCCCTGCCAAGCTAATTAATTTCTATTAACAAAATGATCTAGGACTAGTTACATGGATTATTTTGATAGTATATTTTTAAATGAAAAATAATTTAGTAATTCAGGTGCTAAATTATATCATACCCAGATACTGAGTGAGCATAATAAATGTGTAAAACAATTCTTTTCCCACAGAGAAAAGTTTTTTCCTACATGTCCCACATCACTTACCTGGATCTGGTTCATTGGAGCAGATGTTGACTTCCCCAAAGATGATGACGTACTGCTCCCCATCCTAAAAGGAGTTAAAAGGGTCAGTGGAGTTTACTAAGCATTGACGATAATTCATCACCCGTTCCACTCGAAGAAGATCTTATATACAAATATATCCAAACTTCCAGAATAGACAAAAAATGTACCTTTTGTCAGTACAAAAGGGTTTACTAAGTACTTGTTTACTAAAACCAAAAAGGCCCAGATAATATTCAACTGGTTTTCCAATGCCCTAAATTATTTAATAAAGTTGTATTTACTGTGTTTAAAGCCCATCACACTTTCACTGATGGCCATTAACTTTCAAATAACGTGCCATAGTTATTGGATATATGACCTGACAATTGGTTTAAAAATAGTTTCCATTCTCTTATTAAAACATGCCAAAATTCCATGAATGTTCTGTGAAGCAGAGAACCTAAAAATATTTAAAGATTTTAAGGAAACTAAGGTATCTTAACCACAACGGTTCACAGCTCCAAATATTCCAGTCTATAAAGTGGATACAGTAATGACTCTCATCTCTCAGGGAGTTTTGTAATTAAATGAACTGGAATACAGAATGTAGAACAGTGCCTTACACATAGTAAATGTTCAATAAAGTCCGACATCCCTACAATGATATTTCCTCCTTACTGGGCCCCTCATTATCTCAGTATTCATTATACAAAACCTAGCCATAGAGAGCTTGTAAAAGGAAGGATTCATTGTCAGGAAAATTTTCATTAAAAAACAGATCAGTTTAACATCATCAAATCTCTCTCTTTAGTCCTCGAACCTTTCTTTCCCCATCTACTCATCTTTCTAGGTCAGGCAGGCCCTACAGCATTGTTGGAACAGTACCAAATACCATAACGCAAACTGCACAGTAAAATTACAAATCATACAATAGGATATAAGATATAGCATGGTTCCACAGAGAATCACTCAAATATCTAAGGAACAAAAGAGATTTGAAGCTTCAAATATTTTCCAAAATATCCTTATGATTATGTTGCAAAACTCAAATTCTGACAGAAAAATTTCTCTCTCCAAATCAACACTTTAGTCATTCATTAGTGAATGCATTTAAATTTAAAATTTCTAAAAATATAAAAGTAAGCTAGTTTTTATAACTTTTTTTTTTCACTTTTTTCAAAGGTCCCAACTCTTTTGTAATGACATAACATGAAATCTCAGTCCTGTTTTAAGTGAGTCCACTCGAAATGGCTTTTCCTCGTCTATGCTATCCTTGGATGAGGTACATCTGCGCTGTACAGCAATTTCCCTTCAGTTTCAGCTACCCAAGGTCAACTGTGGTTGCAAACTAGTAAATCAAAAATTCCAGAAATAAATCATTAATGTTTTCAGTTGTAAGTAGCATGATGAAATTCCATGTCATTTAGCTCTCTGAGCCTGGGATGTGGATCTTCTGTTTGTCCGGCATATCCACACTACACACCCCGCCCACCCATGTCACTTAGTAGCCCTCTGCATGTTAGGATCCACTGTCACAGTACGGCAGTCCTTGTGTTCAAGTAACCCTTAATACTTAATAATGACCCCAAAGGAAAGAATAATGATGCTGGTAATTAGGCTATCCAAAAAAGAAGCCCTGAAGTGTTTCCCTTAAGTGCAAGGGTGACTGCACTTAAGGAAAGAAAAAAAAAAAAAATCACATGCTGAGGTTACTGAGATACTTAGTACACACAAATCTTCCCTCTGTGAAATTGTCAAAAGGAAAAGAACTTTGTGCTAATTTTGCCATCACACTTCCACCTGGAAAAGTTATCTCCACAATGGGGAAGTGCTTAGTTAAGGCTTTAAACTTACGGAGACATGAACAGAAAACATATTCCAGCTGATGGCCATGTGCTACACCCGAAAGCCTTGAGCATCTACAAAGATTCAGCAAGGGATCTCTTCAGACAAGAGTTTTATTAAAACAACTGTCCTGGCTTGGCGCCTGTGGCTCAAGCTGCTAAGGTGCCAGCCACATACACCTAAGGTGGCGGGTTCGAATCCCCAGCCCAGGCCTGCCAAACAACAATGATGGCTGCAAGCAAAAAATGGCCAGGCGTTGTGGCGGGCGCCTGTAGTCCCAGCTACTAGGCTGAGGCAGGAGACTCGCTTGAGCCCAGGAGTTGGAGGTTGCTGTGAGCTGTGATGGCATGGCACTCTACCCAGGGGGATAGCTTGAGGCTCCATCTAAAAAAAAAAACTGTCCTACTTTATTGTTACTGTTAACTTCTTATTCTACCAAATTTAAAAATTAACCTTTACCAAAGGTACATATATATAGGGAAAAAATAGTACATACAGAGTTCAATACTATCTGTGGTTTCAAGCATCCACTAGGGGTCTTGGAATGTGTCTTCCAAGGACAAAGGGCGACTACTGATTACTCACACACTTCAAGGAAAGAAGCCATCACCTTATTTTATAACAAAGAAGACTAAGAAAGACAGTAACTACTGCAAGTAAACCTTTTTTTTTTGATACAGAGTCTCAATCTATCACCCTAGGTTAGAGTGCCTTGATGTTACAGCTCAGACCAACCTCAAACTCTTAGGCTTAAGCAATTCTCTTGCCTCAGCCTCCCAAGTAGCTGGGACTACAGGTGCCTGCCACAACACCCAGCTATTTGTTGTTGTTGTTTGTTGCAGTTGTCATTGTTGTGTTTTAGCTGGCTGGGCAGGGTTCTGGTGCTACATGGCTGTAGCAGCCCTAAACATTTTAACATTATAACTACCCTATGTTTACAATCTATTGTTTCTTGCTTCCCAACAGATTAGCAAGAAAATCTGTAAAACAAAAAAAGTCCTGTGTGCTTAACTCAGAAAGGGGTGAGGGCAAGTGAGCTAGGGAGACTGCAGCCAACTTGGGAGGAGGATGCCATTGTAAGGAAAAAGCAGGCTGAGTCCCTGAATCCTAAATCAGAAAAGAAAAGGTTGGGCGGCCCTGGCCTGGACCTAAGCAACAGCTTTGGTGGAGTAAGTGGGCAGCGCTGACCTGGACCCAAGTCGGCAATCTGTATCTGGTTTATCAACTGAGAAAACAAGTCTTTCTCAAGTCCAGCATTTACTGTCCTTCCCAAACCATGTGTCACAGCATTTATTCTTTTTAGAAACCCATTCTAGTGATGGCATTTTTAATTTATTTTCCACAGCACTTACTATCAAAACCAGAGCTCCAGTAGAACTTTAGTAAGAGAAGATTTTCTTGGATAGCGAGAGGAGCCAGAAGGTGCACTTTGAAATTCTACCCTGTTCCCAGACAAACAAAAGAGAAAATTTCTGGAAGGCACCCTTTCCCTTCATTTTCTAGTTGACCTTTGTGAAAGTTTATCACCTATTAAGGAAAGATGCATCACCTGACGACGTACGAAGCACCAGCTATTCATAATACTTTTAAGGAGCGCCTACTATGAGCTAGGCAAAGTCCTATAAGCCCCAGGGACACAAATCAGAAAAAAACACTACCAGATCTCAAGGACCTGTCAAATAGTTGACACCACGTGATTAGCGCATGGCGGGGTGTGTGTGTGTGTGTGTGTGTGTGTGTGTGTGTAACTCTCTAACTTGCAGTTACGACTTCCTACTGTCTTACAAAACTGGCAGGAGCTGCCAGATCAAGGTTGGGAGAGGTCCCAGGAGCAAGGCCTGTGGCAGGCGCGAGGATGCGAACCGACAGGACCCCAGGGAACCGCCGCGCGGGCGTGGGAGGTTGCAGCAGCTGTCAGCGCCGCGGGTGCCACACGCAGCCGCGGGTATTCCAAACAAGGAAGGGCAAGGACAGCTCCTGGTCTAGCCAGAGGCGCTATCAACACAATTGCAGTTGCAGTCCCCAGCGTCAAATCTTTGGCCTTTAGTAGGAATCGTCACCTTCACTTCCTGCGCTAGGATTGCCAGGTTTAACAAATAAAAATGCAGGAGGGCCGATTAAATTAGAATTTCAGATAAATAGATAATAACTCTTTTCGTTTTAAGTGCGTCCAGTGCAATATGTGAGACATACTCAGCTGAAAAACCATTCACTGTTAATCGGAAATTCCAATCTATTAGGGTAGCTTGTGTTTAAGACGTTCACAGCGGGATGGTTCAAGAACACGACTCGTGTTTTCAACCCGATGGTCACAGGAGTCTTAATTAAGTTTACACAACCTAGGCTCGGGGCACCCCTGTCTCCCCACCCTTCCAGGGACTCGCCTTGTCAGGACTCCGGGCCCACACGCAGATGCGGCTCGAACTCTGGCGCCAGAACCAAGGGCCGCCCCAGCCCACCGCTTTATGCAGATGCCGCCATCCCGCCCGGCCAGCCCAGCCTGCTCTGCCCGTACCCCGCGGCCGCCGCTCCCGTAGCTCCCGCCGCCCCGCCGGGCCGGCCTGTCCAGCAGCTCCGGCTCCGAATAAGGCGCACCCCGACCAACGCCGCGCTGCGCCAGTACATGGTCCGGTCCTGCAGCAGCCGGCAGCCCACAGGCTGGTACCGCGGCG